GAACATTGCTTTTCTCTCATCTTTGCTTAGCTGCAGTGGGTTGAGCCGGTGGGGGTGGGGAGAAAAGGTATCCTGCTTTTAGGCAAATGAATATTAATAAAATAATGTGGCTTTTCTTTTTTTTTGCATTTTGCATTTTTCCTTTTTTTTTTTTTTAATCCCACCCCCCACCCCATCCCCAACTCTTCAGATCTCTCTCCTCCTTCATAGTATCTCTCTGAACATTGGGATGGGATGGAAATTGTCTTTTGATTATTAAGGCCTGTCCCTGAGGATGCGGCGTACGTTCATGTTGCTCTCTGGATTTGCACGTTGGAGGATGCTTAGAAACATTTTTTTTTTTTTTTTTTAAACCCCACTGGCATTTTTAACACGCCAAGTTGGCGTGTGTTCGGCACCAGGTTTTCGGCACCTACCCTTTGCTTTTTCAGAAGGCGTTATACACAAATTATGTCTGAGCAATCTCTTATATTGATTGTTATACTCACATGATCATAAATATTAGCCATGTTTGGTGCTGTGGAGAAATGAAGGTAAATTACCTATGATTAGAATGCTTTCAGCTCCAAGGATGGATTGATTAGTATTTGCATACTGAAGGCAATATTGAGAAACTGGGGAGCAAATTACAGCATCTGTTATTGGCTGGGGAGAAATCTTAAAATATAATGGAAAGATTCTTTTTTTTCTTTTTTTCCTTAAATTTCTTTTCCATGGTCACAGATTCTTTATGTTTGGATTTTTGACATTTTTTTCCCCCTTTCCTTTTTCTGAAGTTTTGAGAGGTACCAGGGCAGGGGGGGAGGGGGGAGCTGAAACTTCTGAGTCTGTCGCATGGACCTTGTAGTCTTCTGTAAACAGGTTCTTTTTCTACCTGGCTGTTTTTATAGCTATTTTATTATCTCCCTGCATTAGTGCTGCTGAGCTCTGTCTGGTTTAAAGCAAGCGTTTGCAGGTAATTGGAACAAAAAAAAAAACAAAAAAACAAAAAACAAATGTGTTTGTTGTTTGTGTATGTGTGTTTTTTATCAGGTTGAAATGCTGCGTTTACCAAGGACTATAGCTTTGTATTATTTCCCTGTTTTGTTTCCGAATTGCTATATTAAAAAGGAAATCTAGATGGCATTATGATTTACATTGTGAATCATAAATACATTAAGTCAAACCTCAAGGAAGAAAGAAAAGGTTGAAGTTATAATTGTAGGAATCTATTCTTAGGGAAATATTTTATTTCTTCACCTACTCCTCTTCTCCCCTCCTTATTTATTTTCCCTTATTATTTACCTTTCTCTCCACTCTTCCATGAGTGAAATAATCAAGGTCTTTTTCTTCCTGTTGAGCCAAAATTCATTTTGATTCGGTTATTTTCAAACACTTGAATGTATAGCTCTCTGAGTAGGTTTCGTATTTTTCCTTACTGTGAATGTTTCAGGCCTTCCAAGATATTTTGCTGATTTAAAAAAAAAAAAGAAAAACTACCCACAGACTTTTCCTATTCAGTACGGTGGCCTTCTCCGTTTTTTGTTGCGTTTTGTTCTTTTTCCCCCTTCTCAGTCCACTGATGACTGTCAAGTTTTCGTTTGGGAAATGTTTTTTGCTCGTTTCATTTTATCCAATGTATTCACGCTATATTTTTATTCTTTTTAATTGTGTCTTGGTGATCTATTTATTCTTGTCCTGAAATTTGCCCCCCTTGGTTTTCACTTGAACAGGCCATTGAAGACGGCAATTTGGAAGAAATGGAAGAGGAAGTGCGGCTGAAGAAGCGAAAAAGACGAAGAAATGTGGATAAGGATCCCGTGAAAGAAGATGTGGAGAAAGCTAAGAAGAGGAGAGGTCGCCCACCAGCCGAGAAACTGTCACCCAACCCCCCCAAACTGACCAAACAGATGAACGCAATCATTGATACTGTGATCAACTACAAAGACAGGTGAGTTGATTCATTCCTTCGCCTGATTCTTTCCTTGTGGCCTGGCCCGTGGCGTAAGTCGAGTACCCAAGGAGCAAGACTGATTCAGCTGGGTTGTAAGATTCGTCCACTTTGTGATTCTTGAATCTCTGAGAGATAAAGGCATTTATATATATATATATATATATATATATATATATATATATATATACACACACACACACACACACACACTTTGTGAAGCCTCCTCCTATTTGGAAGTGAGGGCTTAGCTTACACATTAATTAAAAAAAAAAAATCTAAACTAGAAAAGAATTGTTAAGGACTCTTAACTACCATCATTTCTGTAGAAGGAATTGGGATAGAGTCCTTCTATTTATTTATTTATTCTAGTTGAGCTGTTGGAGAAGCAAGAGCCCTAATATAATTAAAGTTCACATGAGGGGGCTGCAAAGAGTAGAAGAAATAGAATCATCTTCTCATTGAATTTTTGCCACGCAGTTTTTTGAAGACCCCTCATGTTTCACCGGAAGACTTTTTAAAACTGAACAGATTATCCATTGAAACTAAGAACCTATTTCTTCCCTACACATAGGAGTTTCTCAACACCGTCTGGGCCATCTTCTCCCCTTTAAAACTTCTGTATGACTTGATAGTTCCACAGATTTACGTCTTTGTCATTGAGCCCTGGTGGCACAGGGGTTAAGCACTTGGCTGTTACCTATAAGTTTGGAGGTTTGAGTCCACTTAGTGGCTCCATGGAAGAAAGACCTAGAGATCTTCTCCCATAAATATAACAGTCTAGAAAACTCCGTGACATGAGGTGACCATGAGTTATGATACTTACTAATGACCTTTTCCTCACACACCGTTTGGATGTGAGATCTGAGAAGGGCTGTGCTATACTTGGCTCCTGAGACCATTTCAAACCATGAACCATGCTTTGAAAAACCAGAGCAAAGACAGGGCGCTGGTCAAGCCCATGCAGTAAATAAAACCAGCTACATTTTGGCTTGTTGATTAGGTTTCCAATCTTGACAGTAGCTTTCCTTTCAAGATAACCACCTGTTTCAGTTGAAAGAAAAAAAAAGATGGACAGGAAGCCTGTTTCTATATGTTATTTCTTTAAATCATGAAATGACATTTCTCAGTGTCTCGTAACCGAAAACGTTGGGCGCTGACTAGAACTGTGGGTACGTGCCCTTGAGTGTTTAGCACAAATACCATGTGACTTCAGTCTTCCATTGTGGCTTTAGTCTAGGTCTCATACCTGAAAGGAAAGCTCTTTGTTCTATAGTCAGAGAGTGTTGTGGTGAGCAATAAACTGTCCACTGTGGGGTTTTGTTAGCCGAGAAACCTGTATTGTCTGTAAGAACTTAGCAGACATGCTAAAACAGGGGCTGGGGGTGGGTAGGAGGAGTTGTATATATGGATTGGTTAAGATCCTTGCCCCAAAGTCCCACCAGATTGTTCTCCCCCTTTTGACAAAGTGCCTTCACCATTAGACTCTGAAGTGTCCTCCCAGGGCGGCCCCAGGATATTGAGTTTGGATTCCTTCTTGATTGATACAGGAAGGAGAATTCTACAAGTCCATTCTTGGCCCAGAGTGAGCATGAAACACCCCTATAAACTAGGAATCCCTAAGGCTGGGTCAGGTTGCTCCCCAACCCCTGCTGGCAGGCAGGAGCAGTGTCCAGGAAGTTCCAGAAATTGAACGGTTAGCACCTTATTTGGTCAGCCCCAACATCCTGTGACCTCGAAGGTCCTCGGGAGAGGGACACAGCTGCTTCTCAGACCAGGTGCACACTGACAATCCGACGGGCGTTTTGCTTGTGATGTGGGCTCCGTGTCAGTACAGAGCTGTGGGAAGAAAGGCCTAGGAAGTAGTGGGGGGTAAAAACCAGACTTGTGTCCCAGGGTGGTGGGCATCAATGGTCCCAGTGGTGTATGAGGAATCGCCCACTAGCAGGCCACAGATTGTCCACGGAATGTTTTCTTTGGTGCTGTGGTGCTTTAAAAAAAAAAGAGAGAGAAAGAGAACACAGAGAGTTGAGAGATTTCTTGTCCACCTCTGAAATGTTTTTTGTTTTATTTTCTCCTTGGAAATAAAACTAAAAATCTGGCAGCAGCACCCTGAAAACAGTTGGGGCTGAGGAGGGGGCCACCCCATTTCTATGGGCTGTCTGTCTTGCTCTCGGTCCTCACAGTCCACCTCTCAGGATTGTTTCGCCACATGTGACGACCTTATGCCATCTATCACCAGGCCTTTTCTTGTCACCTGTTCTACGTCACTCACATGACATCACCTGTGGCCCTTGGCGTTTTTGTTCTCCACTTCCTGGTATACATGGCTCTCCGCTAGCTCATTTCCTCAAAATCATCCAGAGATGTAAAGTAGCGTGAGGTTACATCTGCTAGTCAGTGGTGTGGAGTTTATAAGTCCCTGGCTGCCAACTGAAAGGTCAGCGGTCCAAAGCTACCAGCGGTTCTGTAGACGGACGACCCAGGGATCTTCTTCTGTAAAGATGACCACCTAGGAACCGTTGTAGGGAGTTCTGTTATCATATACAGTCACTGTGAGTTGGACTCATAGACCACCCACCACCACACCATGGCCTTTCCCTGACTCTGTCTGCATTTCAATCTCTTTACTGATCCCATGGGTTGTGAGAAGGATTCCACAAGCTCATACAACCCAAGTTCTTAGTTAATTACTAGGAACCGCACACCCTCTGTGGCTAACCAGGTGGGCGTGTAGATCGCAGACCACCTTAAAGAAAATATGCTATTGGTTTCCAGTGTTTTCTTCCCCAAACCAGAAAAGCTCTCTTTCTCCGGGCCACCTTAATTGAGCTTGTCTTCAGCTGTACTGTAAGGAAAAATCTCTAAATACTTGAGTTTGCCGGTAAGGAGTTACTTGTTCCCGCCCATTTTTCCAGATTCTGCGGATTTCATTTTGCTTTATGGCACTGTGAGCTAAGCATTGGACTGCTCACCATAAGGTTGGTGGTTTAAACCCAGCAGCTGCTGCTCCAGTAGAATGAGGCTTTCTGCTCCAGTAAAGATTTACATCCCAGAAGCTCTATACAGGGTCACGACAAGTGGGAAGAGGCTGTGGAGGTTTCCTTGAAAAGTATCCAATAAAGTCAGCCCACCCACTACTTTGCCCACCCCTACCCCCAACTGCATGCTGCATGTGCAACTTATCGTAGTAAGTCATCCTTAGGAAAAGAATGTTTTTATAGTTTATGTTTCTCTTAGAGCACCGAAAGGAGGTTCCCGAATTAGGAAGACCTTAATTGACTACAATGTCATACTTTTGGTTTGTTTTAGAAAGAGGGAAAAACAAAAACAAAAAAAAACTACTGAGAGAAGTCCATCTTCCTGCACTGAGATTTTTCTTGCGCCATTTAAGACAGTTGCTAATTGGGTAACTCAGCTTACCTGTGAAAGAGCTACCTACCACCTGTGCTAGCCCCGCCCATCCATCCCAGGGCTCCGACAGGTAGCTTTGCAGTGGATTAAATAAGAACTGCCATCTATATTTAACTGGTATATAAGAAGAATTAATTAGCTCTCATGAGATAGGCTTTTTTTTTTTTTTTTAAGTTCTTGCATGGTTTCAGGACAGATGCATCTTTGTATTTTTATGAAGAGCTAGGCTAATTTCAGCATCTAGTCATTGCTTCTGTGTTTGGAGCAAGGTCTTGTTTTTCTAAAAGGGAGGATACTTTTAAAAGCATGACCCCAAAGAGCCAGTAATTTTGTGTGATTCATAAGTGTAAAATCATCCGGCTCTCAGAGTTAGTGCCTGTGGTAACTGGTTCCCATCATTTTCTTTTCCTTAAGAGGGGAAACTTCTCCTGACTAGTACTAGAAGGCTTTATTTTGACTTACGAAAGCAAACTTTGTGTTCTGTTTATTTAGAAGAATCTTACTATCAATTTGTATAGTATCTTACTTGAGGCGCTCTCTCTCTCTCTCTCTCTCTCTCTCTCTCTCTCTCTCTCTCTCTCTCTTTTTTATGTTATAACATGGGACGCTGGGATTTTGAAAAGAGAGAGCTCCGTGCTCATTTACATGTGTGCCCCAGAGTTTAAGATGAGGATGAGATATAAACCAAGATGGTCAAGAGCACATTCTAGTGGCACGCTGCCAAGTCTGGAGAAATGCTTCACTGTTAAAACATAGATAAATCAGAGAGTTCCTTGAGGTTGGAACAGGATATGCCTGATTCAACTTCCAGGTGCCCCTGGGTGATACAAACAAACGGTTCAGTGCTTTGCTGCTAACCAAAAGGTTGAAGGTTCAGTTCCACCCAGTGGCACCTCAGGAGAAAGATCAGACAATCTACTTCTGAAAAATCACCCACTGAGAACCCTGTGGAGCACAGTTCTCCTCTCAGACATACATGGGGGCACCATGAATCTACTTATGAAAACTCATCCACTGAGAGCCCTGTGGAGCACAGTTCTCCTCTGACACACACAGGACACCATGAGTGAAATCTACTTATGAAAACTCATCCACTGAGAACCCTGTGGAGCACAGTTCTACTCTGACACACATGGAGTCACCAGGAACCACAGTTGGCTCAACCACAACTGGGGTATCCAACTTCCAACCAATTCTGTTATATCTCCATACCAGCTCTGACACGTGGCCTTTGAATCACCCTGTGAATCCTCTAGCATTCACTCTAGTTTAGGCGGCCATTCCCAACACTAAAGGACAGCTCTGACATAACAGCCTTCTTTGTATTCAAGTGGACTTGGCCCCCTAACTTCTTGCTTTTTGCTCATGCTGGGCCTTCAGAGAAGTAAATCTGTTTTCATTCTAAAAGCACAACCTCTGAAACTTTTGTAAGCGAACACCTCTACCTGTATACAGACTCCTTCAGGTACCAGCTGAGTGATACTGGACTTTTGCCATCCGCAGTCCCACTTAAGGCTTATTGGACTTTCTCACTGACCCATTTAAAACATGGTGGCTCCCACACGCCAAGGAGTCCTCGTGTAGTG